AAAATGTTAACAAGTCTATGTTAACATTTTTCTAACATTATACAACCAAAAATTATAAAGTTTAAAAGTGAGGAAGTTGGGTCTGAAAAAGTCTAGAAGTGAGGATTAAAAACAGTCCACCATGTGGGAATACCTTGTGTTACAATCATAATTACAAGTATAAAATAAAGACATTATTTAAAAGACATACAATTATTCATAGTTTTTAAAAAGCATCTATTTTGGCAGGTATTTCTTTCATTTCCCTCCCTGTTTCCCCAGTCCTGCTTCTTGTGCTCACCTCTCATACTACCTGCATTCTAGTTCTTCTCTTAGTCACTACATTTTGGAGAACCCAAGATGAGGAAATGGGTGCCAGAGTGGCCCTAGAAAGTAGAGCTTAAAACCTTTGAACTTCCAAACCTCAAGATGGGATTCTGGACCTGTGTTACTTACCCATCAGATGGCAACAAGGATCCCATTTCTAGTGGTAAGTGGAGTGATGCTATCCCTTGGAGTGATGGTAGGATTAAGATTCTCATCTATGATGGCTTAAGATAAGGAACAGTTGAAAGTGGAAATATTAGCCCAGCCAGCATGGCTAGCGGTTGAGCATTGACCTATGATCCAAGAGATCGTAGTTCAATTCCCGGTCAGGGCACATGCCTGGGTTTCAGGCTCAATCCCCAGTAGGGAGCATGCAGGAGGCAGCGGATCAATGACTCTCTCATCATTAAATGTTTCTTTCTATCTCTCCCTCCCTCTCCCTCCCCCTCTCTGAAATAAATACATATTTTTTAAAAAAAGAAAGTGGAAATATTGGTTTATTCAGTAATTTTGGCTGATCCGATAAAAATACACAGTTGACCCTTAAACAACACGTGTTTGAACTATGTGGGTCCACTTATACGTGCATTTTTTTCAATAAACATACAGTTGGCCATCCATATTCCCAGGTTTTACATCTGCGATTCAACCAACTGTGGATGTAGAGGGACAAATGTATGCGTTGTTCTACACCATTTCATATAAGAGACTTGAGGATTGTGGATTTTGAAACCAATTCCCCCTGGATACTGAGGGACAACTGTAATTAAGTTTGGGGGTATCTAAAGTTATATGAGGGTTTTCGACTGCACAGTGGTGTCCTTCCATAGATGATTGGATAAAGAAGATGTAATACATACATACATACAATGGAATACTACTCAGTCATAAAAAAAAGAAAAGAAATACTGCCATTTTTGACAACATGGGTGAACCTTGAGCATATCATGCTAAGTGAAATAAGCCAGTCAGAAAAGCTAAGAACCATATGATTTCACTGACAAGTGGTATATAAAACTGAAACTCATAGACACAGACAACAGTATGGCAGTTACCAGAGGAAAAGGGGTTGGGGGGAGTAGTAAAGGGTAAGAGAGGCCAAATATATGGTGAGGAAGATGATCTGACTTTGGGTGGTGGGCACACAATGCAATATACAGATCATGTATCATAGAAATGTACACTTGAAACCTATATAATCTTATTAACCAATGTCATCCCAATTTAAAAAAATAATAAGAAGCAATATCTTTAAATTTACCTTTATTGTTGAAAGTATTACAGATGTCCTCTTTTTCCCCTCATTCATCCCCTGAAAAAGGAGACATTACTACCAACCTTACAGAAATAAAAAGGATTAGAAAGGAATGCTATGCACAGCTGTATGGTAACACATTAGATAACTTGAATGAAATGGGCAAATTCCTAGAAAGATACAAACTGCCAAAACTGACTCAAGAAGGAATAGACTATTTGAACAGAACTATGACAAATAAAGAGAGTGAATTAGTAATTTTTTATTTAAAAAAAAACACACGAAAACTACTCATAAAGAAAAGCCAGGCCCAGGTGGCTTCGCTCTTAAATTCTACCAAACATTTAAAGAAGAATTAATGATACCAATTCTTCACAAACTCTCCCCAAAAGCAAAAGGAATACTTCTCAACTCATTTTTATGAAGCCAGTGTTACTCTGACACCAAAACCAAACAAAAACATCAGAAGAAAACTAAAGACAAAAACCACATATAGGATTTACCGAAAGAATGTGGTCCAAGTGCACAGCTCTGTAATTTCATGGTTTTGAGGTGATTTCCATAAATAGTTTTCTCCAACTGGGTTTTTGGTAAGAATTAGACAGCAGATTTCAAGGCTATAATCTCTGACAAGAATCTGGAGAATAAATATTCTGCACTACCAATAAAATGCATGTCCTTGTGCTTTGCCAACTTCCAGGGCATGGAATAGAAATGAGGTCTTCTTATGAAAATTAAATGTTATTTATTTATAGTTAAATGCATGTTGAAAGTTAGGGGAACTGCCACTATCAAAACAAGAACTGAATAGTGTGTGTGGGGGGGCAGTTTGCTGAAAATTGAGCAAAGAATGTGGGGCAAAGAAAAAGTCATAAGATATTTGAGATGTATTTTATAATTTGATTTAAAATTTAATTTAAAACTACAAGGAAGAGATTTTGGATTATAAGCAAGCATTGAACCAAACACAGAAAAGACAGGCTCCTTTTCTCTGAACTTTCAAAATAAATCCAAATCACACCATTAGGATAATAAACATGTAATTCCAGTAGTCCAAATCCTAACCCTTTTTAGGTCTTGGTTAAATGTTGCCCCTTTGAAGAAGATGTAATTTGGTGTTTCCTCATATATCATTTTCACGCTCCTCTTGGAGTTGCATTTGTCTTTCTGTCTTACTGAAGTGTAATCTTCTTGAGGGCAGGAATGATCTCTTGAATCTCTAGATTCTTATTCGGGGTTAGGATAGTGCTTTGCTCATAACTAGCACTTACTAAAAACTGTTTTTTATGAACTAATGAAAATATCATGTATCTCATTACATGGTAGGTTTAAAGCCAAATGGATTTTTCAGGTACTCAAAGTAAAAAGCCTCTGGTTAAAAGGATTACCAGATACAATAAACTTTAAACATTTCTTTATGAATTAAACTATAAATTAGAGATGGCTTTAACCTGACTCACTGATACTAGTTGCTTTCCTTTCACTCAGATGTCCACAGCCATAAACGTTCTCTTGGACAAGAAGAAAGAGGTTAACCTAATAGTGAACCTTCCCATTACAAAATTATCCCTTTGAGGACACCCAACCAATCTCTTCCTCTGAAACCCTTCTGGGAATGGTAAGGCCAAAGTGCTCTCATGGGCTCTGGAACTCCACTTTCTAGAAAGGATGAGTTAGACCAGAACGCCCTGAGCCGAAGCACCTGCAGCAGCGGCATCCTGCGCCAGCCG